CCTCAGTGATGACTGCGGCTGTGAGAGCAGAGAAGGCCACGAGACAGTGAATGTAGAGAGGGGGCAGACAGGCAGAGGCGCCCCAAGAAAGTGCCAGGTCCCAGGAACAAGGAAGACAGAGTGGAAATCACAAGTCAGAAGTCACAAGCAGCTTCTTGCCAAGATTATTCTGAGTGGCTGGCACAGTTAAAAAATAAAGACATGGTTATTCATTATAAAATATAATTATTTATTAAAAGAATCCCAAAACAGAAAAAAATAGTGAGTCCTGACAATTGTCCATGGTATCAACATTTTGATGTTTTCTTTTTCTCGTTAAAAAAAGAAACTATATAAGGTGGGTTTTTGTTTTTTGTTTTTTTTTGACATGGAGTCAAATCATGGTGTCAAAATTATAGTTTTGAATTCAGATCAAAACCTGGGCAAGGGAAACGTTTAATCAAATGCTAGTCATACCATCGAAATTCCGAAACGAAGTCAGAATGAACGAGGGGCCCCTGTGTCATTCCTGGAAACAGCTTCCAAAGGCCAGGCCCCCATTTCACAGAGGGAACTGGTCCTCCAGGCCTTCGTGATCAATGCACCAGCCTCTGCATTCTCTGCTCTCGCAGTAACTTTAAATGTTTTAAAATTAGTTGTACGTTAGTTTAGGCTCCTCAAAGGCAGACCCTGAGACCAGTGTTTGGGTGCAGGTTGTTCATTTGTGAGGTGTTCCAGGAGCACAGTATAGAAGGGACAAGTGAGACTGGGAGGGAGCCAGCAAAGGACGTGTGAGTGAGCAGGCTGCCACACTGGCAGGTGGGGTGGGGGCACAGGGCAAGCCTCCAGGAGATGGTGTAGAACAGACTTCACAATGGTCTCACTCGGAGTGGGAAAAGCTGGGGTTGCTATCCACCAACTCCTGCCCCTCATTCCAATGGCTCTGGGAGTAACTCTCCCTATGTTAGGCCTGACCAGTGCAAACACCAGAAAATACCTCAAGTAGGGAAATACAGGGGCTTGAGAGAGGAAGCCTTTGTGAATAAGAACGCCATCTATTTCTGCTGCAGTGATCTGAGCCGAGGACTAGGACAGGACCAGGGATTATCTGCTATAGCGCCTGCATTTAAAACCAGCAGCTTCCTCAACATTCTGGCTTTCTGAATTCTCATAAGAACATCAGACAACCTGGGCTTGCAGTCCCACGTGGAATGGCAGCTGTTGCCTCCTCCAGAGGGGCACATGCTCGCCAGTGTGCCACAGTCCCCACTACTCCCTGCTGCATGCCGCCTCCTGCCTGGGGTCAACAGTTAGATCTTTGTTTGTCAGTTTTGTTCTTTAACACCCAATCCATTTCCCTCCTCGGTGTAACCTGGCTGGCCCCTCCAGGAAGGGCTGAGTTTGGTGCCTGGAGGAAGAAGGGGCTGATGCTGCACGTAGGCCAAGCAGCCGTCAAGTTGGCACTTGGTTTCCTGGGACCAAACCTTTAAATATGAAGCTGTAACAGCAACCTGGAGGCCCCTCTTGACAACCTGCCCAGCTCTCATTATGACATTTAGCCTGTGATTGATACTGTGTGTGTCATTGAGACCTTGGCAGTTAATCTCTGGGTCGATTCTATGGAAACCAAACAGAACAGATTTGTCTTCCCCTTCCACTTTGGCTGTGATCTGGGAAACAGACGTTCCTGGCCTCTCTGGGATTCGGAGATTTGGGAGCCATGCAGAGAGGGTTGCACACAGTCGCCTTCAGGATTTGGAAAGATTACAGGTCTGTGGTTTCTGGCCGGCTCTGTGCTTTGTTCTCTTCCCCCATCAAATCTGCACGCTGGAGGATAATAGATCCCAGAGCTCCTCTGCGTGCCAAGCTGCTCTGGGTAGACCGCACACTTCCTCTTCTGTCTGGAAATCCAGCCGAGGCTTTCAGCACAGCGATGGGGATGGGGTGGCTCTTCCACAGTATACCGGAGGAACAGCCTCAGCGAGCGTGAGGTCAGCGTCAGTGATCAAAGGAAGCAGGCAGAAATTTCAGAATGCTATTTACTCCAGTGTCTCCCTGAAATCACCTCTTCTGAAGCCTCCTCTAGAGGCAAGCAGGGTTCAAAGCAGTCTGCACCCCCAAATGTAGGTATATGGTGCCCAGCTTCTACTCACTTTGAAATAAGAAGAGTTGGTGCCATGGAAGAGTTGAGCTCCAGACCACTCAAAATGAAGGCACCTGTGGGCCTGAAGCAAAGAGAGCGGTACCTACACTCTTCGAGACAGAGGCGTCTGTGCTGGTTGCATCACAGAAGTTTCCGGCCATCCCACAAACGCCTCCCTCCTTGGTGACTGGAAATGCCAGCAGGCAGGCCCCAGAGTGGAGCTCCGGCCTGAGCCACCAGCCGCTGCCCGGTCTGTCCATCCTGCAGTCTGCTCTTCGCTCGGCTCCCTCCTCCGCAAAATGAGCCCAGTGGCTCAGTCCTGACTCGTCAGCTCTGGCTGAAACCCAGCACAGGCCTCACAGGCCTCACAGGCCTCACAGGCCTTTACTGATTCACCCCCTCAGTCATTCATTCACTCGTTCCATTCTCTCACTAAGCCGCTGCCTCCTCCAACAAATACTTCCTGAGCACCTTCTCCAGGTGACACTGAGGCTACAGAGATAAACACCATTAAGGAGCCATCAAAGAGCCCAGAGTAAGGTCATCCAGCCCCTCACTCCTCCCCATCTTGCACCCTTATTGTAGCCTAAAGACCTAGTCTCCACTTCAACGAGAAGATGGAAAACACTGAGAATCCTCACTACCCTTCCCTTAATGCTACAGCTCCTGACTCCTGGGCAATTAGCAAACTTTGCCGAGCATCACACTCACTTGGGAGCTTGTTAAAATACAGACTCCTGGGCCCCCTATCTCCAGTCCAGGGTGCAACCCAGGAATCTGTATTTTTAGCAATTGCCAGATGATTCTGAGGGCGGTGGTCTTTAGATCACACTTAGAAACACTCCAAAGAAGGGTCACCTCTGCTGCCCATTGCTCCCATCCCCCAACTCAGGATTGTGAAGGAGAAAGCCACAGATCCTGGCTTCCCATAATCCCCAAAGACACACACTGCTAGCTAGCGATCCTTTAAACTCATTTACGATAAAGTTGGGTGAATCAAATTTCCCAAAGCAGTGGTTTTAGCTCTTTTCCTTTTCTTGTTAAAACATCCCTTAATGGAAAATTTCAAATGCACATAAAGAAAAGCGTGAACACCTTGCAAGCATCACCCAACTCCAGCCTCCACCACGCACAGCCAGTCTGGCCTCATCACACCCCCATCCACTCCTTCCACCCCACACACAACATACGATTATGTTTCTTCAACTATATTCTTATTGAAGCAAATCTCAGACGTTATATTATTTTCTCTGTGAATGTTTCATCTGTACTTCTCAGACAAAGCCCTGTGGTATAATTTAACTGTCCTCTGAATCTCCTATATATTGGGTGTTAGATCTAGGCTCTGAGTACTCGCGTCAGTTACCGGTTTCCTTTGGCCAGATGACTTGCACGGCTGTGGTGTTCTTCCATCCGAAGGCCTTCAATGGCTGACTGTCTCTTCTGTTGCCGGCAATGCCGACATCCATTAGTTCATCAGGTGTGTAAAGGGTGCTTCCTTCCTTCTTTATTATCTGGAATACTTTATAAGAGGCCCAGTAGTACAGTTTATATAAGAAAGGAGCAATAAATTATGTTAGATTATTTTCCTTTACTCACCTGTCTTAAAAATAATGAGCTGGTTCCCTAGCATCTTCCAACAGGGAATAGTTGTTTTGTGTATCATTATGGTTTAAATGTTTGATGTGTTTCAATCCACTGCAGTTATTTTTATTTTTCATGTTCAAATTGTCCATTTTTTGACAAATGAGAGCCTCTTGTGTTGTGTTCTGAATCCTTTTGACAGAACTGGTGGTCTTTGAAGCTACTGATTATTTTTTTACATTCTTCAACCCCTGGCCTGCCCCTCCTCAAGCTGAATCCCCTACCCCAACCTCTAAGCGATTATTTTGTCTCAAAAGTCTAAGACCCTGTGTTACAAACATTCTCAATTTTGTTCTCCTTACCTGTAAAATGGAGCTAATAATAACGCTTACTTCATAGCTCAGTGAAGATTAAATGAATTAATAATTGTAAAGCACTTGGAACGGGGCCTGGCACAAAATAAGTGCTGGATAAGTATTTATTCATCAATCACATCCCCTCGCTGTCACACACCGCCATGTCTCAGTCACACCACCCCTTGCTCCTTCCCTCTAGTCCCAGGACACAAGGATGAGCCCTGCCCAGGCTGTCTGAGTGTAGATGCATCAGTCACTCGGCTCAGGGAGCAGATGCCCGATTCCACTGCGAATTTGCTTCTGTGGGGGCCATGGGAACTCCCCCGACACTCGGCTGGCGAAGCCTGACCAGCTCTCCGGCAAGGCCCAGTCTCGCCACAGCTTTCCAGCAAGGACGCTCTCCTGCGCCTGAGAAGTGGGCAGCCCGCCAGCATCCTAGCGTGAGCGCCGCGAACAGCGCCTCGACTGCCCCACCAGCTCCACGAACACTCACACGGCCAAGTTTCCTTCCACCCGGGCTCCCGAAGCCCCGACAATGTGCTTGGCTGCCCAGACTAGACAGGCTCTGGATGGACAGGTCTGCCCTTTCCACGGGCACCAGCTCCCTGCTCACGTCGAGTACCACAGCCCGGAATGTCAGGGACCTTCTGGGTCAGCAGGTGCCAGTCAGATAAAGGAAAAAGTAAGCACTAAAGAAGGGGTAAAGCCTAACAGAAAGGAGGCGAGGGGCGGCCGCCTGCAGGGTTGGTCAAGGGTCCGCGGCAAATCCCCCGGGGGCAGAGCCCCAGCACTCCTGCGCGGAGACCCGCATGCTGGGGGCCGCTCTGAGGCTTCACTGCCCTCGTGCGGCCTTATTCACCTCCGTGGCCTGGTAGAGCCATTCCCTCCCTCTGTCCCCTGCTAACCCAATCCCGACCTTCTCTCATGACCAGTGCAGAAAGGAGAAAATCCATTGGCTCCAAAATGACGTCCAGGGAACCAAAGACAAGCCTCAAGAATGCCTGCGCATCTGCCAAGAGCCGGCCGCCAGAGGAGGAGGCGGAGGACTACTGTACCCCCGGGGCCTTCGAGCTGGAGCGGCTCTTCTGGAAGGGCAGTCCCCAGTACACGCACGTCAACGAGGTCTGGCCCAAGCTCTACATCGGGGATGAGTAAGTGCCCAGCCAACCCCAGGAGAAGGCAGCCCGCCCCTGCCCATGTCACACCCCTTGCCACCTCCTGGCCATGACATTTTGCTTTTTAGGTTAGTTGTTCTGTGACTCTGTACGTTAGGACTGGGTTTATCTTCGTATTACAGAAAACTCAGACAAGGAGCTTAAGCAAGATAGAGGTTGATTTTGCTTTCACATGAAAGAAGTACAGAGGAAGGCAAGACGGGACGAGCATGGGTCTCCAGGGTCATCTGGGACTCAGGCTCCTGTTTCTTTCTGCTCCACCATCCCAAGGGTGTGGCTTTCTTCTTCAAGGTTGGTGCACAGGCTCAGATTGCTGATAGGGCCCCAGCCATCATCTATAGAATCCAGACTGCAGGAAGGTAGAGAGAAAGTAAGAGCAAAGGGCGTCTTTCTAAACAGAAGTCCCACACAAAACTTCCCCTGCCCTTAGCTGCAACGGAGGCTGGGAAATGTAGTCTTTTATTTTAGCTGGGTATAATACTCACAAGAATAAAGTCAGTTCTCAAGTTGGTGGGACAGGAGCACATCAACCTATGTGTGGAGAAGCAAATAATAAGTCTAGAAAAGTTCAGGTAGCTCTCCCTGTCTCTAGATTTTTATAGCCACCATTCCCAACACCTCAAACAATTGAGAAGCTCTTACTATAAATAATATTAATAATAATAATGTCTATGATTTATTGAATACTTTGTGCCAGGCATTGTGCTAAGCATACACAATCTCATTTTTACTAAAGCCCAATGAAAAAGGTCACCTACTTATTCCCATTTTAAAGATAAGGAAACTGAGGCTCAGAACAGTTAATTAACTGTCCCAAGGTCCACAGCTCAGTAGGCAGCAGAAAGCTGGTATTCAGATGCTATTTTGCCCAACCCAGAAGTTTTCATCTTAAATCCTCTCTCCATCCCTCAGCATTTCAGTTCATGTTCCATCTTTCCAAGGAGCAGATGGTCCAGGGCCTCTGCATATGTGATTTTAACACACACCATGCTGCTTAAAACTTAGAGATAACTGTGTAGTCATGGGAAATCCAGGGGCAGCCTTCCTTGTCTGTTTTTTCATATATATATGAAATTGTTGTTGTTGTTGTTAATCCTCACCCGAGGATATTTTTCCATTGACTTTTTTAGATAGCGTGGAAGGGAGAAAGAGAGAGAGAAACCTTCATGTAAGAGATAACACAACAATTGGTTGCCTCCCGTACAACCCTGACCAGAGTGGGGATCAATCCTGCAACCCAGGTACATGCACTTGACCAGGAATCGAACCTACAACCCTTCAGTCCACGGGCCAACACTATAACCACTGAGCCAAACTGGCTAGGGCCTTAACATTTTTAAATTGAAAAGTTACAAAAATTACATGCCCTTTTGTACAAAATTAAATTAAATAGAGGGTTATAAAAACAAACTGCACAATCTCCCTTTGTCTTCTCTTAATTCTACTATGGAGTAACCAGTGCTATGTTTACTTGCATATGTCTACTACTTTATGGATACTATTGCAAACATAAGGAAATATATGGACACATATGAAGAGTTTTTGTTTCTCTTAAACAATTTTTAGGAAGAAAAGAATCATGTTATATCTACACTATTCTGAATTTTTAGTATTCCACAGTATAGTTGTATCACAATTTATCCAGTCACTTCTCAGTTGTGAATATTAGGAGAATGTAGGTGAGAGGTATATAGGGACTCTCTATACTGTTTTTGTTTTTTTAAATAACAGCTTTATTGAGATATAATTCACAGTCCATAAAATTCACCCACTTAAAGTGTACACTTCAGTGTGTTTTCTATATTCACAGAGTTGTGCAACCATCACCACTGTCCAATATCAAAGCATTTTCATCGCCTCAGAAGGCAATCTGAATCCATTAAGTAGTCTCTTCCCCCCCCACCCCCCCACCCCCCCCCCCAGCTTCAGGTAACCACCAATCTGTGTTCTGTCTCTAAGGATTTATCTATTCTGGACATTTCTTAGAAAATGAATCATAATATTGGGTCTTTTGAGATCCAGCTTTTTTCACTTAACCTAGTGTTTTCAAGATTCATACAAGTTGTAGCATGTATCAGCATTTTATTCTTTTTTTTATTGCCAAATAATCTCTGTCCTGTTTTTGCATCTTTTCTATAAGTCTAAAATTAGTTCAAAATAAAACATGTACATATACACTTTGACCCCAAATATCACTTTAAAAAAATATAACTTACAGAAATAAGAACACCAATACATAAGGATATATGTACACTGTTTAAAGTAGCAAATCTTTTAATAATAAAATATTAAATAAATGTAATAAATATATGGTTTACCTATTATAAATTAATATATGCTCATTGTATAAATATATGTCTTAGTTTTCCTATTTGTAATGGGTTAACAAGAGAGCCTTCCTCAGTGTTGTGTGGATTAAGTGAGATAATACATATAAAATATTAGCATAATGCCTGACACATAGCACTCAGAAATACTCGATACGGGTTAACTATAATAATAAAATAGTGATTCATGAAATGAAGAAAACTTTTAAATTTCTCAGAATAATCACCAAAGCCCATTATTCTAAAGCTATTCCTATTAATATTTTAGTATATTTCCTAGGTTTCTGTATATTATTTTTTGCTTCAAAATTTGCTGTGACACAGGTGTAACCATATTGAATATTCATTTTGTCTTTTTTTCGCATAGCATCATTCTTAAACTTTTTCCTTATTACATACTTCTCACGTATTTAATTATAATAACATTAACATAACATTAATTATAATATATTCTATAATAGTATATTAGATGACTATCAGATCCTTTACTTACCTACTTCCCTGCTGTTGGACAGCTTGGTTGTTCCCATGTTCCCACTTTGACAAATAATGCGGCAAAGGGCCTCTTTATGCATAACACTTCCTTTTCATGTTTCGGCTTGTTTCCTCAGACCTGACCCTAATAATAGTATAACCAAGGGAAGGGAGTTTAAGGTTTAACATAAACCATCTCTGTGTCTTTCTCTATGCTCTTCCCTTCGCCTAAAATATCCTTCCCTTCACCTCATAGGTTGTATGCATTTTTCTTTAAAAATTTTTTTTCTTTATTGATGTTAGAGAAAGAAGAAGGGAGAGGGAGAGAGACAGAAATACCAATGAGAGAGAACATCAACTGGCTGCCTCTGCATGCCCCTCACTGGGGATCAGGCCCACAACCTGGGCATGTGCCCTGACTGGGAATTGAACCAGCGACCTCTTGGTGTGTGGGTCTACGCTCAACCACTGAGCCACACCAGCTGGGCTCCTATGCATTTTTCAAAGTCCACTTAAGCTACTTCTGCCATGAAGCTAGCTTTTCCTAATCCCTAGAGTGAGAAGTAAGCTTTTTCTCTCTGTATATTATACAGTATATTTGCCATTCCTGTAGCTTGTAATGGTAATAATAGCTAAGTTGTACTGTATTCTTACCATGTGCTGTGCCCTGTGAGAGGCTCATTTCAACTCTACGACAACCCAAGCAAGGAGGTACCACTCATTACTCCCATTTTACAGATGGGCAAACCAAGGCTCAGAGAGTTCATCCATTTAGTCAGTCAGTGTTTATTGGTACATCACTAGGAGCTGTGGAGGATATAGAGAGGAAAAGAGGCTCAGAGAGATTAAGTGACCAGCCCGAGGTCATACTACCAATAAGTGATAGAATTTATACTCAAACCCAAATCAAGAAAATGTGGTCAGTCAGAAAAGAAGCTGATTTAGCCCTGGCTGCCTGGTTCAGTTGGTTGGAGGTTGCAAGTTGGATCCCAGACAGGGTGTGTACGGGAGGCAACCAATTAATGTTTCTCTATCACATCAATGTGTTCTCTCTCTCTCTTTCTCTCTCTCAAAAAATCAATTAAAAAAAGATTAGAAAAAAGAAACTGATTTCCAGTTGAGAAGAGATGTGTACAAATGTAACAGGGAACAGAAGAAGTAGGTAATGGAGTGGAAGGAGTGTGGGGTTCGAGTCTTGGCTCTGTCAACTATCAGTGTGTGGTCCTAAACAAGTTGTTGGCCTCCCTTTCTCTTCCTTGGCAACAGTACCAGGGCTGCCCTCAGAGGGTGAAGAGTGAGCTCAGAGAGTACAGCTGGAGCAGTAGCTGGCACACAGTGAACAGTCGCTGAGTGCCTGGGTGTGGATCTGAGTGAGCATCACCCGAGAGGTCAGTTCCAGTCCTGACTTTGGAAGATGGGTTGGGTTTCAACAGAATTCTAGGCAGAGCGAGCAGGATGATAAAAGGCATAAAGGTAAGAAGAAACAGGGTGACTTATCTGGGATGTAGAGAATGGATGTGGTAGAAAGGGCACCTTCAGAAGATCTGGGATTTGCCCTGGCCAGTTTGGCTCAGCGGTTAGAGCGTCAGCCCACGGACCAAATTGTCACGGGTTTGATTCCTGGTCAAGGGCATGTACCTCGGTTGCATGCCCAGTTTGATGCCTAGCCCTGGTTGGGGTCGTGCAGGGTCATGCGGGAGGTAATCAATCGATGTGTCTTTCTCACATCAATGTTTCTCTTCTCTCCCTCCTTCCCTCCCTCCTACTCTACCTGAAAATCAATAGAAAATTAACCTCGGGTGAGGATTAAAAAAAAAAAAAGATCTGGGATTAAGCCAAATAGTTTAGACAGCTGTGTTACAATAACAGGTGACCAACATCTCAGTGGTCCACCACAACAATGGTTTATTTCTCACTCACATGGCATGTCCACGGGGGGCACAGTTCTAGCTGTGCTGTCCACTTTACTTTGGGACTCGGGACCCAGGCTAATGTCCACATTTCATTGGCTGATGTCCATATTTCACTGGTCAAAGCAAGTCCATGCCAAAGCCTCACATCAATAGGGCAGAAAAGTGTAACCTACCCCTATGGAGGGACAGCAAATATTCTGAATGACAACACACTGTCTACCGCAGCCACCGTCTACTGCAGGAGATGTGGCTTTGGGCAGGTCCTTTCACCTTTCTGGGCCCATGTCCTCATCTCTAAAAATGGTTACTGAGAAGAGTCAAAAATATATGGATGTAAAAGTATTTTATAAAGTATGAAGTAATGGACAGATGAAAATATTATTACTGTTACTTAGTGAAAAAGAAACCTAGGCCCTGGCTGGTTTTTCTCAGTGGTTAGAGCATCGGCCCACGGACCAGAGAGTCTGGGTTTGGTTCCCGCTAAGGGCGCGTACCTCGGTTGCAGTTTGTCCCTGGCCCCAGGTGGGGTCATGTGGGTGGCAATTAGTCAATGTGTTTCTCTCACATTGATGTCCCTCTCTCTCTCTTGTCCTCCCTCTCTCCTTCCCGCTCTATCTGAAGATAAATGCAAAAAAAAAAAAAAAAAAAAAAAATGTCCTCGGGTGAGGATAAAAAAAAAAAAAAAAAGAAACCTAGGAAGGTAGGTCAAGGCCAGCTTGAGGAAGGCTGAATGCCAGCCAAGGTACTTTACACAGAAAGTTCAACTGAGAGTGTCTGAGCAGGACAGACATGTTCCAGTCAACAGGGCGCCAGGCAGCAGGGTTTGATGCAGTGACATATGTTTGCCTCCTTCCACTAAGAAAATGTCACTGCCCTTTCAACTCAATCCAGCTCTGCCTAACTGAGCCCCAAACAAACACCGACACGCACAGGCTAGGCGTCCTCCAGTCGGTGTGTGACCTGTGTGCACAGCGTGGGGAGGAGGCCAGCGTCAGCATGACGGGTTGCTTGTCCCATCTCTGTTCAGGGTCCCTCCCCGATCCCACTTAACAAGGTTAATGAGACTCACAGATGCTTAGAGAGCATCCATCCCAACGCCAAGCAGCCGCATGGAGGTTCTAACCCAGCGGAGAGAAGGCACGGTGGCCTGTGGCTTTCGTCTCTTTATAGGTGTTGCCCAAACCAGTGAAAAGCTCAGAGCTGGCTCCTCATGCATAAAGACTCTGTTTTAATTTGATATTTGCACTTAGGTTGAGTTCTTCCTTTCCTTTAAAGCACCCAAGATTTTTGAAAACCAAGTACCAAGGCTCTGAAGTTAGGACAGTCAGACCCAGGAGTGAGGATGGACGACCTAGCGCAGCCAGAGCCACCAGCTGTCCCTAGAACCTAGACCAGTGATGCCTGGAGCCCACAGGGGACCAGACTTACTCCCACAAAGCAGCTCTCTCTTTCCCCATCCTCTGTCCTCAAGGGCTTCTTTATGGAGAGAGGCAGAATGGCTGAGCATCTGCTCCAGAGCCACGGCATCTGGGTCACATACTGGTTTCCACGTGGCCTTGAACAAGTCACTCAAGCTTTCTGAGCTTCAATTTCTTCACCTGTAAATGTGGATTCAATGAGTTAGTACATATGGCGTTTAGTACAATGCCTGGCACACCCAATAACTCCTATAGATCAGGTAAGTTCTGGTAATTTGACTCAGTCTGAGAGGAAGGTAAAGAATGGTTACTATGCTTTGCCACCAAGGGTCCCTCTGTGCCAAGAAAACACCCCTGGTTAAATTTTTCCCATGAGATACTATCATGAATCCATAGCCAGGTTGGAAGGAGGGTCCCTCCTAATGAGCCTTCTCCAGCTCATGCACCAGCTCCCTCCCCAGACACTGCCCCGACCTTCCAGGGACCCAGGTGACCTATGGCCTTAGGAGGCTTTTCCATATCAAAGCCCTAGGGGCCTCTGGGTTTCAGAATTTCTAAAGCGTTTTCTCAATCCCAGCTAATTCCAAGGGGATTTTTCACCAAGTGGGGTGGCTGGTGACTCCAAGTCCCTATTGCTTACCAGCCCAGCGGATGGTGAGGAGGGGCCACAGATAGGAGGGGCAGTGGTTGGTGTTCACTGTGCTGGGTCAGCAGAGGGGGTCGGGTCGGGCCAAGCCGACCAGGCACCTTTTGGATGTTCTCACGGGGAAGTCTGTTTTGCGCAAGGCACAGCTGTCCTTTCCCCACACATTCCCAAACACTGTAGGGTCAGCATGGAGTAGAGCAAAAACCATCAAGCAGGATTCAGAGCCCCAGAGTTCAAACATCTACTGTTCTGGGACTCAGTTTCTTTATTTGTAAAATAAGGAAATGATTTCAAAGGTCCCTTCCAGCAAATGTCCTATTAAATGAATTAGGCTTTATTAGATTCAAGCACCTACTTGTTTTATTACTTTTAAGTCATTTAAATTAGATTCAAATTAGGTTAACCGAGTGTTGCCCTCCAGAGATCCAGGGACCGCGTCATGATGAGATAAGAATAATTCATCACCTCTTATCAATCAGCAGTCCCTAAATGGGTGCTTCCAAATGCTTGAGTATGCTTGAAAGCACAAGTTTCTGTAATTTAAATATTCTCACTTTAATCTCATTGACATCTTTCATTTGCTTAGCAAAACCTTTTTTTCTTTTTTTCCCCCTACAGTCAGCAGGAGGGGAATATCCTGGCTCCTGTCAAAGTGATCACTGTTCCCAGGCAGGGCCTCCCCCTTCCCCAGCAAAGCCCTTTTGAAACAGGACAATTGAAAAGTCTCTCTTTCCTCTCACCAACACCAGCCCTGAGCAGCTCCCTGTTTTTATTAAAAATCTCTCTTTTCTCTCACCAACACCAGCCCTGAGCAGCTCCCCATTTTTATTAAAACTGCAATTGCTGCCAAGGTCCGGCTTTGGAGATCATCACAGCTAGCTGCCCCTCCCCGCAAAGCCTGACTGCTCACAGGCCCGTGGCCAGCCCCATCCAGCCCGAGCTCTCTTTCCCGGTGGCTCTCTTGCCCTTTCTGCTGCCAACCAGGCCAATTGCCTCAAAAGACACAGGCATCCCCCAGGGATGGCCTGTCCTTAAGAAGGTCATGCACCAGCTCCCTCCCCAGACTGCCCTGATCTTCCAGGGACCCAGGTGACCTATTGCCGAAGGAGACTTTGCCACATCAAAGCCCTAGGGCCTCGGGTTTCAGAATTTCTAGAGCGTTTTCTCAGTCCCAGCTTATTCCAAGGCAAATCAATCAGCTGAGACAGTCCTCAGCCTGAGAGAAGGCTGCGCAGTGGGACACCAGGACAGAGTATCCTGTCCCCCCAAACAGAAGGAACTAACTCAGCCTCAAACTTGACCTGCCTCCAGAGTGGGCCGTGGCTAGTGTAGGGTGCAGCCAAAACACAGCCAAGGCTCACAATTTAAGTGTCGAATTTACCAGAAAGAACTAGGAAACCTGGACTCTGAACCTCCAAATGCCAAAGCCGATGTAGGTATAACTGTGCACCAGCCCCGGGCACGGTGAGTGGGGAGAGATGCTGAATGCCCTGCCTGCCTGGGCTTCTCATGTGCACTACAGCTTTTCAGTGAAGGCCTCAAGCAACGTCAGCCTTTACCTGTCACAGCTGGCAAATGCCTATTCCAGTCATGGCTACAACACCATTTCTCAAAATCAGACATCCCGAGTATACTCTGTCCCTTCTCAGCCTCCATCCTTGGAGGACTAGAGTCTGGTAAGTGGGCAGATGATGGAGAGATTTCTTTTTTTTAATTTATTTTATTATTTATTTTATTTTATTTTATTTTTGTTACAGATGTTTCTCCTTTTTTACCCCAATGACACCTTCCTCCCCATCCCCCCCATCCCCGGCTTTG